CCCACCAACCACACTAGCCATATTCGGCTCCCGTGTGCCAGCCGGGCCAGCTTCCTCCAAACCTTGGAAGCTCCCACGGCGTCCACCAGGCCAGATGTGTCTAGACATGAGGGGGCCGGGCAGACGCGTGTGGTCTGAGTATTCGGACATTTTTTCCAACCCAAACATACACTCAGGAAGCATTGGTCAATGCAACTTGATGATGTGTTCGACTCTCGAGCCAGGGTCAAATACAGCCTCAATCTCGGCATCGCGGCGAGCATCAATTCCGTCACCAAGTCTACGAGATCCGAAGCGATTCCAGAGGGAAACAAACCCCCTTCGACTCTCCACCGGCTCCAACGACTGACGTGATTCGTCTTCTCCGCACCGCTTGCTTGTGGGCCTAGATTGCAGTAGGGGGAGGAGGGCGCGAGCAAGCCGGTCTCCGACTCGGGACGCTGTTCGAGACCTCGTACCCAGCGAATGGCTGGCCTACGACCTGGGCATGCTCCTCCCTACGCCATCAGTGCCGCCCCCCGCTGCACAGCCCTGCGCTATCACCGTCAGGCTTCCGACACGACACTACCACACCACACACCACATACGACGGAACACGCAACACGCAACACATACACTCGCAGTCATCAAACCCTGGTAGCCTGGAATGCCCTACCATTCGTCCCGGTCAGGTTTTTTGTCAGCCTCGAGCGAGCCACAAACGAACACCAGCTGACGCAGACACAATCTCCCTGTGGCATCTCATGACAAGCCATCCCAAGCCTCTGGGAAGCCTACAAGTTCCATGGTAGCATGCATCCCTGTAGCACCGTCGTTCTAGGGCATGGCGACACGACGCATGTGTTTCCTGACAATCTGGGATCTCATCAACCCCCAACGAAAGGCACTGGCCAAGTGCTCAGGCATCGAGATTGACCGACAGGCACCATGTGAAGTGATCGACATGCTGGTGAACAGGAAGCGAGTTCGGGCAGATGAGGAAAGCCACGGCACTACAGCATGGCACCGCGATACTGAAGGCGAAAGGGCCCACGCTTGTCCACCTCATCGAGCGCCTCGATGACCTAGTTCCTATAAAATCTGGTCAAGTACGCCGCAATAGGGCTGATACCCTTACCGACGAAACCTCAGCTGGGAGACGGGCCCATCGCCAACCTCCCCCGAGCATATGCTGGACCCCTTGCCTCCTGGTCTTGCAGGGTCCTCCGATGGCATTCCTGCTCGATGTGATAAAGCAACGTGATGGGAAAGCATTGGACAGACGAACTAAATCCTCATCGTTGAAACGTCGGGCCAAGACAAGGTTTCAACCGCACCCGATCTGCGGGGCCAAGGCTCGCCAGTCCGTCTCAATCTGTTGCGCCGCGACTCGAATGGCCGCCCTCGAATGGGGCGAACGTTCGTCCACTATCTCTCCCTTGCTAGGCTTTGTGGCCGACGACCCTGACGATCCGTCGCTTCTCCTTCCAATGCCTTGCATACTAGGTACCGTGTCCTTACCGTAGTAGCCCCCAGCCTTTACAGAAAAAAGTTATTCCTACCATGGATACGTGTCTCGGCGCGCGCCGCGAAAGCAGGCTATTGGGTTTCTCCAGCTGGGGGGGGGGCATACATGTACCCCTTGTGCCCCTGGCGGCCGTCGCGCGTTCGCCGAGATCGCTCACCCGCTGGGGAAGATCCTATCCACCCCTCGTTCTAACCGTCTATTCTGTGTCACAGTCTTCTTCCTGTGGGTCCCTACCATA